TCCCTTGAAAAAGCAGGATCTATTGTTATTAATTATGATTTTTATCTAAAACTTTTCTTTAACAATGTGATAATAAATGATGGACTGCGTTCAATTTGTGTGAAGGAAATAGACTAGAACAAGGTATGTGAAGGAAATAGACTAGAACAAGGTATGTGAAGGAAATAGTAGATCAAGGTATGTGAAGGAAATAATAGAACGAGGTATGTGAAGGAAATAATAGGACAATTTATGTAAAGGAAATAGTAGAAGGAGGTATGTGGAAGATTAAATCAAAGAGAGGACAGAACGACTCAAACTTCCACATACCTTGTTCTTCAACTATTTCCTTAAAAAATTTGACGAGTTTTAAGTTCTATAAATGGAGAGAGATTGAATGTTTGCCTCTTAAGTTTGAACAATTGAGAGAAATCAAAATTTATCCATACCAAGTCAGTCAGTCTGAGGAGTCAGTCAGTCTAGGGAGGCAGTCAATCTGGGGAGTCAGTCAGTCTGGGGAGTCAGTCAGTCTGTTGTAAATATTATTGATCTGTGATGACACTGTGGTGCTCATCAATCTGATTTCATGGAAGCATCTCACAATCAGGCAAACCAGCCGATTCCTATGACTGACAGTGACAACAGCTCAAACATTCAGTGACCTGATCTATTCAACAGTGACAACAACTCAATTATTCAGTGACCAGATCTATTCAAAAGTGACAACAACTCAATCATTCAGTGACCTGATCTATTCAAAAGTGACAACAACTCAATCATTCAGTGACCTGATCTATTCAAAAGTGACAACAACTCAATCATTCAGTGACCTGATCTATTCAAAAGTGACAACAACTCAATCATTCAGTGACCTGATCTATTCAAAAGTGACAACAACTCAATCATTCAGTGACCTGACTTGACAAGGTAAATAATGCTGAATATTGTTTGTTTTCCTACTGTTACAAATCTACCACCATTTTTTAAAATTGAGTGTTTAAGACAATACTAATCAGTGCTACACAATACTACCCAGTGTTACACAATACTACCCAGTGTTACACAATAACACCCAGTGATACACAATACTGCCCAGTGCTCATCTGTTTAGGTCCGCCTATGACCTGTGATGCACCCTCCTTGCCCTACCTCATTTTCTGTTTCGGGTTGATCCTGAAGTGTCAAAGTGTCCTCGTTCTATAGCCATTTTCATTGTTTCTAAAGTATAGTAGTTACTATCCTAGTGTCTCATTTTTATTTACTTAGTTTACATGTTTTAATAATTGTAAAGCGCTTAGAGCTTTATGATAAGCGCTATATAAAAATGCCTAAATAAATAAATAAATACTGCCCAGTGTTACACAATACTGCCCAGTGTTACACAATACTGCCCTGTGTTACACAATACTGCCCAGTGTTACACAATAACACCCAGTGATACACAATCATACCCAGTGATACACAATACTGCCCAGTGTTACACAATACTGCCCAGTGTTACACAATACTACCCAGTGTTACACAATACTACCTAGTGTTACACAATAACACCCAGTGATACACAATACTGCCCAGTGTTACACAATACTGCCCAGTGTTACACAATACTACCCAGTGGTACACAATACTACCCAGTATTACACAATACTACACAGTGTCAGTGTTACACAATACTACCCAGTGATACACAATACTACCCAGTGTTACACAATAACACCCAGTGATACACAATCATACCCAGTGATACACAATACTGCCCAGTGTTACACAATACTGCCCAGTGTTACACAATACTGCCCAGTGTTACACAATACTGCCCAGTGTTACACAATACTACCCAGTGTTACACAATAACACCCAGTGATACACAATCATACCCAGTGATACCCAATCCTACCCAGTGTTACACAATACTACCCAGTGTTAAATACTACCCAGTGCTACACTAGTAATAATTATGACTATTTTTTTTTTACAGCTTTCAATTTAACACAGTAAATACACACATGGTCAAACTGTCCTTAGAAGATAGAATAAAGGATATCATGGTGAAGAACAGAGAAATATGATTGGTAGTTGGTGAGTCTGACATTGAATGAACAGAGCAATATGATGGGTAGTTGGTGAATCTGACATTAGATGGTCAGAGAAATATGATTGATGACAAGTGAACAGATGAACAGAGTCACAGAGTATTAATACATGTGAAAATTACATTATTTTTTACAAATAACATCTTTTTGTAATAATAGATTATTGTAATAACATTTTTTTGTAATAATAGATTTAGATTGTGACCAAAAGTTTCAGGAACAACTTTATAGTCAGGAAGTATGACCTCATTCGATGTGGTTGGGATTAATTGTTAGGTTTAAAAAATTTTTTTTTAACACCAGTAAATACAGTCATATTACCCTTTAGAACCATGATAGATGCTATATCCATGATAGATGCCATATCCATGAGAGACACCATATCCATGATAGATACCATATCCATGATAGACACCATATCCATGATAGATGCCATATCCATGATAGATGCCATATCCATGATAGATGCCATATCCATGATAGATGCCATATCCATTACTGTAAAATGGGGGAACTTTGGTCCATTTTATGTGGAACATTGAATATTTCGACTATCATGGTTATGGCATCTATCATGGATATGGGATCTATCATGGTTATGGCATCTATTATGGATATGGCATCTATCATGGTTATTGCATCTATCATGGACATGGCATCTATCATGGTTATTGCATCTATCATGGATATGGCATCTATCATGGATATGGTATCAAATTAACCACCCATTTCTCCTATTAAAAAAATTAATAAACAAATAAAAATATCAATGCTTTTGATACTTAAAAGATACAAGTTCAAGTAGAATTCTGAGGATAAAACATGGCATCTGATTAGGTGGAAACTGGTACTCACTGTTTAATGATAATAAGGGGGAGAGACTGCAATCAGGTTAGCCAAAAAGGAAACGGGTAAAACAAAGGATGGGGAAACCTGAAAAAAGGTACGCAGCAAAACAACATATTTGTCGTCAGGAAGCCTTCATAAGCGAACAAACAACAGTAAAACCAGAATAAAATATTAATAGCCCACAGCTGAAATGTAGTGTCCGAGAGGGCAGCAAGAGAATGGTGACAGAAAATAAGTAGGTGAAAGATTAAATACAGGCAAAAAGGGAAAGAAAAGAGGAGAAGTAAGTCCACTACTACTCGTCGTGACCAGGAGGGGGCGGAGCAAAGTTTGAGATAATACAGAAGTATGAAAGGAACACAAAAATTCTGAGATCAAAACTATTTATTTATGACATGAGCATTCCACAAACACATTGAAATAAACTGATACAGTTATGGGGATCATGTTTTTAAAACAATACAAGGCGTCTCATCAGTACACCAAAATGTTAAAATCAGTAAAACATCTAGAAGCATGTTTCACAATACCTAGAAATTCCCTTATAATGTGAATAAAAAGTTATGTTTACACAAGCTCATGGGTTATTCCCAGATCTCTACACTTTCTTCAAATCCTAATCAACTGGACATTACCATCTTGTCATACCGTATTTTACGGACTATAAGATGCACTTTTTTCTTTAAAAAACTGCCTCCAAAATTCAGGTGCGTCTTATGCTCGAAATTAATATAAAAATGGTAAAAATATTATTTTTTTAAACAGTTGCTTAAAAATTAAGGTGCGTCTTATAGTCTGTAAAATACGGTATGTGAATCTCTACAACTAGGATACAACAGGCTTTGAACTCTCAAACATCCAGAAACACAGAAACATTAACTTCCATACTTTTACCTCATCTAAATGCTGTAAGCAAGTTACAGAGACACAAGTCTTGTATCCTGTTTACAATCCACCTCCTCAATAAACTCTACATCCACACACTTCTCTATAATGGGATACACAAATTAAAGCACTGACACCTTAGTCATTTTAAAAATCTAACAGGTTAAAAAAAACTATTAATTTCCTTATTAATAAACCGACCTACAAATAACTGAAACAACTTTATCAAATGTTTCAAGTGTTAGAATCAGCTGAACGTTCTTTTGCAGGAATTTTATAAACATCAATTAAAAGAAATTGGATAGATTAACTCTCTGCAGTCTGACTATAGAGAAATGGTACATATAAGTACCATAGATTTTGTGGGTGGGTTATTTATTTTTTACCTTTGTTTTTTATTGAAAAAAATTATTTATTATATTTTAATAATGTGTTTCATTGGTTTAAGTATTTTTTAAAAAATTAAAATTATTACAAAATTTGAAATTACTATTTAAACAAAATATTTTTGGAAACTTATTCAGCGCGGAGTATCCCTTGAAAGCTTCGCAGATTTCCAAAAAAACAAAAAATATAAGTCTCACAAAAAAAATTAAATAGTAGTATGAATATTGTCAAATGATTTTAATTTCCCGATTTATCAAGGAGTTATTTGTTTGTCTAAAGCAATGTATCCAAATGGAGACTCTAATCATGAAATTTATCACGATTTGCATATAAAAGTACCGACTAATGCTATCGTAAACAAGTAAGCTTAATTTTAATTATCATTTCCCGACTTTAAAATTAATAATAAAACAATAAAGTGATATTTTTATAATTTTAATTGGCTGAAGTATATATTATCCATTTATACTTACATTGATGTATTCTATTTGAATTTTATTGAGTTTCAATAATTATATAATAAATAAATAGCGTCGCTATGCGAAATAAATATTTTAAAAAAATAGCGGAAAATTTCGGTCGATTGGAACTTGCGTAATTAAATAAATTTAAAGTTAAGGACTTCTGAGTTATTAACTAAATATATTTCTTTAAAATATGTTACAGCCAAGAATAATCTTCTAAATTTTCTAATATTGCATAGTAGAAATGTGTTTAAATTTAATTATCATTATCGCTAGTCACTAGTATTAGTAGAGACTACTGTCGGCAGAATAAAAAAAACAACATTTATGTTTTTATTAAAAGCTCTCTAACTCTATTGGGAAGGAGGAGAGAGAGACAAAAATGCAGATATTGGATCAAGAAGCCCTTATTCCTTATTGATCCTAAATATTAAGCCTGGACTCCACCCTTTTACTGAGTTACAGAGTTACTGGATGAATATCTTTGAAGATTTTACCCTAAAAACAAGTGGTGGTAAGTTTTAATCTAATCACTTGGTAGCAAAATGCATAAAGAATAAACTCACAATATTGTTATAACATATGTTATAATGTATTTTCTATGTACAATGGTTTACTTTTATACTAATTTAGGCACTTGGACTAGGATTAATGGTATTTTCCCTTACTGATAGCATACCATTACTGATACCATTAGTGTTAATTTATTTATGAATCAATCAAATTTTTTTTTTCCACAGGTTCTTTATTGAGTGAATATTCTGTGGTGAAAAATCTTACCTAATCTTATGTAGAAATCAAGTCCAGGACAAGCTTTTATTTATCAAATATAATTATTATAATAAAACTGCAGACTGTTTTAAGAAATAATATTTGTTCAGAGTCCATAAATATAATTAAGGAATAATGTAGTTTATCAGCCTGTGTTATGTGAGGATTATAACAAAGATATATAAAAATGCCGGTACATGGGAAAAAATAGATCACATTAGTGAGGAATGGATCGTATTTGACATGTATATCAAAATTAGCATTATTGTACTGATACATTTTAATTTTTTTTAACTTTAACATCAGCGAATACCGCTATTTTAAAATTAAAAAAAAAAAAATTGACTCTTGTTTTGAGTTATTTATATATTCATCAAATTTTACTTAGTCATCTTTTACTCAAGAATTATTAAGAAATATATTTAATATACAAATCTATAAGCTATGAGACCCATTTTTTAAAATATATTACATACAAAACATAATTTTCATTAAAAGAAAAATTATAGTGCATTTTTTAGGAAAAAAAGACAAAATATAGGTTTTGCTAAAATGTTGACAACTTTTTGATTGTTCAAAGAATTTTTGTCATGTTTGACTATGAATTGTATTAGTTGATGAAGTATTTTATTTAAATAAATTTTAAATCTTTTATAACAAGGATTTTTTTTTTCCTTCATACTGTGTAAAGATTTTGTCAAATTTTTGCATAAAATGAAAAAAAATAATTCTCCAATAATGTTTCAATTATTTTTATAACTAAGAAAATAAAATATACAAAAAATATCTTATGATAGCTGAGTCAAAGATGAACAAGTTAATATATTTAACTGATCAGATCAGAGCTATTTCAGATCAGTTAATTAATTATTTTAAAAAATCACATTAAGATTTTTAAGAAATGTGAAAAAAGTGTCAGACTGCAGAGAGTTAAAATAAAAAATATTATATTTTAAAATAAGTAAAATAAAACGTTTATAGAAATTAATATGATGACCAATACTTAAACTCAACGGTATTGAGATTTTTTTTATTTTTAGGAAGTTAATAATGTCAGGTTTTTAATATTGAAACAAAAGAAAAATTATTATTAGCCAACACAATGTTCTGTATGGCTGAAACATTTAAATAGCAAATGTTTGCTAAATCAAATAAAACTATTCTAATAATGCCAAATACCATCTTACTGGGTAGTACAAAATTCTTTTTAAAAATCATAAAACCAAGAAATAAATGTAAGCTATACATACAAATTTACAATGATAAATTTTTGCTATCACAGCTTCATTAACTCAAAATTTGATTTAGAAAAGGAAAAAACTCATTTAAACATATATTCCCTAACAACATTTTTTTTGATGCCTAACACATGTTATTTTAGGCTCAAGTCACACGATCAAATGCCTTTCAAATTTTCATTTATACATTTGATGCGATTTTTGTAAGAAGCCATGTCACAACTTTCAAATTACTATTTGATTAAATTCTCATTTTTGTCCACAAAAAGAAACCATGCACAAAATAGTGCGTTCATACAAACATGGGACTCAAATTCGAAGCTCATTTGATCGTGTGAACTGACTCTAACACAAGGTTCTTTTAGTTACTATTTTAATTCCTAACACATGGTCCTTTATGTAGTTTTTCCTGTATTCTTAATGATGGAGGAATCATCTAAATTTTGCCACAGAGCGAGAAATGCATGTTAATAGCAAGGGTTACCCCATGGAGAGGAAAATAAGTACAATGACTAAAGTAAAACATCTGAGAATCTTTTCCACACTGGTGTTTTCAGTGAGATTATCCATGGTGATGCCAGGGGAGGCTTGACATATTGGCAGGTCTCAGGTCGTCATCCATGACGTCACTTTTGAGTGAGCCAACGCCACTTCTTACAACACACGCTGGTTCTGCTGGAGGTATTCAGATAACAGCAGAGAGGGCGGGCGAAAAAGCTGGTTATGATTCTCAACTTGTGTCCTCCGAGATTCACCATCATCATAACCTGTAAGTTTGTAACATAAACATCATCTTGATAAACTATTTAAACACACGGGCTCTTCAATTTATGAGCCAGACTGTGTAGTTAAAAAGTGGAAATCTTTTTAAAAAATGAAAAAGCTTTTCAATTTTTAAAGTTCAGACTTTTTAAAATAAAATTATCAATCATTTTTCTGATGTTAAATAATTAAGTGATCAAATAATGTTTCATTGTTTAAGTCAGCTGGGCCACTTGTTAATCTAAACTAAAAGATCTGGCCAAAGTTCTTGTAATCACAAAGAGAACAGTACTTCCCCCTGTTGTATTCTAAGTCGGTCAAGTGTTTGAGTAACACAATGCCTACACTGAGTACACACCAAATCTTTATGATAACATCCCTTTAAAATGTAAACAGACTTATCTTAGAGGACTCATTATGCAAGATTAATTAATAAATATTTAAGATTTAATTTTAAACTGATACTTATACTATCAGCCGATATGTATTGAATGTCCATATTGTTTTGGAAATGCATCCTTCACTTACTCTGGGAGTAAAGGTTCAGGTACTGGCACAGCGCGTGCAGTAACATCCTCTCAAAGCTACTGGAAATGCTGGACACAAAGACGGAGGTGGGGAAATCATGGAAGAATGTGACAATTTCCCTCTCAAGGTTGGCAAGCATTCCCTGGATAGACAAAACAGATTTTTTAAAAATAATTAAATGAAAATTAAATCAGTTTTTGATGGTTTGCTTTTTCCCCACAGCCTAATTTTGAGCAGCACTCTATAGTTAAAAATGCTTTTTTTTAAAGCATCATCAAACTATAATTATTTACAGATTGTTTATTTAAATATTTTTCAATAGTATATACAGCCCTACAAAAAATTTCCTAAAATTATTCTTAATAATGACAAAAACGATTCTGTTAGGGAGATCAAAAAACAAATTTCTAATCTTTTGATAAGGAGATTAACATAAAGTAATAACAGCAAACCAATCAAATTTAATTAACCTATTATTTGATGGTGCTACTGTTCTAGTCATCGGACAATATTAGAATGTCACACATCTCTTATCTGAAACTTCAGCAGGTGATAAAATGTTGCTGGAAATGCAAGAGATAGTGTCGATATTATGTGTAACAATGATTCATGATTACATCACCCAAAAGATAGCTGAACTTAAAGCTCACCATAGGGAGCTGTCTGCGCTTGAGAAGGGATCTAATATTTCTGTCTACTCTGTTGTAGCATTGCACGGGGCTGAATGCTGGGTGGTCTGAAAGTTTTTCATAAGTAATTTAATAACACAAGTTACATAATAATATTAAGAAATATCTTCATTCACATGTGATTCACAAATATGTGACACACTGTGCTGCCATCTAGCTTAGAAAATAATAGCAACAACAGAATCTCAGACACATTTTTCATGTATCTATTGAGGATAAATATTTATTTAAATTATCCATTTCATGAAATAGTTGTAATAATTGTGATGTAAATAATGGCAAACAACATTTGTATTTTCTGAGTTACCATTTACTCTCAATTTCCTTTCAATAGAACTAGAATTAAAAACCACTGGGTCACTTGCCAGTTAAACTTGTGTTTGAGAAAATGTGATTAAATCAAGAGTTACCACTTCTCTCATCTAAGATCATGACCCAGTTGTCTTCATCAGTTGTCACCTGGCCACCTTCAAACTCCACCTCGTCATCCTCTTTTATCACATGCAGACCTCGGTAGTTCAGGATTTTCCTCTGCTCTTCCTCAGAACTTTCCACAAAGCTGTTCCACATCTGAGGAAAAATGAGTGGGAATGTTGGCCTAATGCCCATCTACAACTTAACAAGCTCATATTGGAACCAACCTGCTGAAATTGTGGAATGAAATAAAAAAATAATTATGTTTCATTGTGCCCTCATTTGTTTTTATAATATTAAAGGCTAGAATTTAACAAAGCTCATACCAATGACTCAATCGGCTAAACACAGAGAATACATAAACAGTGTCTATTTCTTTAAAGAAAACCTTAAAAAAATTACTGTTAAGCCTCAACGCATGATTCTCTTTTCTTTATAAATAAATAAGACTAAAGTGAATGAAATAAAATTTAATTTTGTATGTCTTGAAAAAAATATTTTGTTAAGAAGTTGGCAAAAGCACATTTAGTTTTGTGTACCATATATGACAGTGTATAATGTGATAAACTTAAGCTTAAAATGCTACTTAAAAGTATACAGAAGGGAAAGTAATTTTTCATTACTGGTTGGAATATAATGAATATATACTAATGCCTACGCAACCAAAATTTTCTTTGCTCACTCTTATTTGGCGACCGAGTACGCATCTTATCTGCGCATAACACCAGAAATTAATTTAGCATCTCTTTGAAGGGATATTAGCATATTAAATTCTATCAGTATGATCAGTTCATTTTAAAAATATTACTTTAAAGAATTTTGACATATTGATTAGAAAAAAAAATATTTTAATAAATCTTATTGAAGAAGATTAACAGATTGCATTATATGTCAATATGGCACTATAGGGATTTTTTCAAAAAGAAAGTTAGGGGTATGCATTATACATATAATGATGGAAGAAATTCCAGTTTCTTATCACTTTATAACCATTTTTCATCATGTGATTTTTGCCATATTTTTCTCTTAAACGCAAATGTCACAAATTAATAATGGTACAGCATACCTTTTTTTTCAACAAATTTTTTACACTACATGTTGGCACTTTCACCCATTCACCCATCATTATAAAAACAGAAGATTCAGTGGACACAATTCTACCCACAGTTAAAGATGAATTGACATCTATATTTAGCAGCACATTTTGTAAAGCATCATAATAAAATTCATATATTTTTATTTAAAGCCAGAAATTTGCTTATGCTTGAATACTAAAATTATAAAGTGCATAACTTCTTCTGTAACTAAGGTTGTTAATCAGTATTAATTATTATTGATGCTGGATGTATAAGTTCAGAACTTTCAATTGCCAGAGAGCTATGTGGATACAAAAATTAAACTCAGTTGAATAAAACTAAATTTAGCTAAAATTAGTTTGACATACACGGTACATAAAATGAAAAACAAATTTAAAAAAAAAATAAAATATACTCAATAATGGTTTGATGACAGCTCTTGAGATAAATGTAGCAAATGACACTCATACCTAAACTTTGCCCAGAAATAAAAATTATGAAATGAACTTAAGAGTTGTCCTCCTGTACTCACATCCATTTTATCTGGGTCGTCAAATAACTCTTCAAAAACAGAGGCGCTTGGTTCAAAGGTTGATGCAGGGTCATTCATCACAATGTCTTCATCTTTTTCTTCAAGGTTTAACAGAAATCTCACTAAGAAGACATAATGTTAAATGTAATACTTATTAATATATTTCTAGACTAGTTCTTCTCAGTTTAGGGAATTGGTGGTGAGGGTTTTAGGTGTGTCCATTAACCAATATTTCCAAAAGAGATTTAAGAACTATTTCCCTAAACTAGAGGCTAAACCATGATTTTTTAAGAAGATCCATCTGCTTTGTAAATTTCAAATTAAGATTACCTATATTTAGACTGTATGCTCAAAGTATAATTGTATTTAAAAAAATAAAGGATAATAAATGAAGGACTGCGTTCTGCGATGTGTGAAGGAAATAGCCGAAACGTCCTTTTAATGACCTGTATTTCTATTTCAAGCTTCCACACACCTTGTTCTGCTATTTCAATAATAAAGAATGCTCATAAGTTTATGCTTCTGAAAATTCTTCATTACTTACAGTTATCAACTCGGCGAGCATGCCTAATGCCCCGTCGGCTTCCATATTTAGCAAGGTTTTCCTGTGAAACTGATATGTGAATGTGCCGTCTAGTGGGACGACGCTGTTGTCTTGTTGCTCGATGGCTACTAACTGACTGTGAATCTGACTCCTCCTCATCAGTGGACACTATTAAATGATTTTCAATGTTCCTAAAAAGAAACAATTTGAGTTATCATCAGATTTATTATATAGATTAGGGTTCTCAACCTTGCAGAATGTAGGGAGCATGCAGCCCTCCAACCTTTCTCTAGTGACCTGACAATCTTCCAATTGTTTTTATGATACAAATAGTATTTTAAGCCAGGGCTTATCAATGATATATGTAAGCTAATTGTGTTGTATATGTTGGCGAGCTTTGGGTAATCATTTAATTCTTATACGTCCCTTCTGGTTAATGAGATGGGATGCTAATAGAGATTACTGAATTTTAACAATTTTATGAAATTATTCAAGGCCTATATACCAAATAGTTTATATATTTTAATTTTTAAATGTCACGTTGCATTGCAGTTTAATAAATCTAGAAAATTAATTCGATAAATAATAAATATTAATTAGGTGTTACAATTTAGTTACAAGCTAAGACAAAAAGCCTAGTTATAGGATATGGACCATCCATGTGAGATGAAGGTGTGGGGGAGGACTGACAATCCTCTTCCAATCGTCACTATGCACAGGAAATGTTCCAGCAGCCTGGAGAACAGCGCATGTCACTCCAATTTACAAGAAAGGGGAGCATTCCGACCCTGCCAACTATTGTCCGATATCCCTCACTAGCGTCGTCTGCAAATTGTTGGAGCACATAATCGTAAGCTCTGTCATGAAGCATCTTGAAAGCAAAAATATACTCAATGACTGTCAACATGGCTTCCGAGTCAATAGGTCATGTGAGACCCAGCTTCTCGAATTTGTAGAAGACTTGATGACCAATCTGGAGAACCACAAGCAGACTGATGTGCTAGTAATGGACTTCGCAAAAGCATTTGACCGGGTGAATCATAGTTTGCTTCTACACAAACTCCAGATATATGGGATTCAAGGCACCACTAAAACATGGATCTCTAGCTTCCTCAGCCACCGACGCCAAGCAGTAGTGGTGGGCGGTACAAGCTCCTCCTTTGTCAATGTGAAGTCAGGGGTCCCCCAGGGATCAGTCCTGGGCCCCTGTTTGTTCCTAGCATACATTAATGACCTACCGGAGAAACTGACATCACAGGCAAGACTGTTTGCAGATGACACAGCAGTGTATAGGACGATCGCCAACAGATCTGACCAGGACCAGCTACAACAGGATCTCAATCTGTTAGCTGAGTGGGAGATGAGCTGGGACATGGAATTTCACCCTGCCAAGTGCCAGACACTATCAATCTCTAGAAGTTGTACTCCTCTACACTACCAATACAAACTGCACGGCCATATTCTTGAGCAAGTTTCCTCCGTAAAGTACCTGGGTGTTACCATTCAAAGAGAGGTCCGCTGGGACGAGCATATTAACAATGTATGTAACCAAGCAAACCAAGCCTTGGGGTTCTTAAGGCGAAATCTAAAGATTGGCAACTCCTGTGTGAAAGAAAGAGCATATAAAGCCTTTATCCGTCCGATTTTAGATTATGCATCTTCAGTCTGGGACCCATTTACCCAGAAGAGCATTGACAGGTTGGAGGCGGTCCAGCGACGAGCAGCACGCTTTGTCCTAAACCGCTACAGGAATACCTCTAGTGTTGGCAGCATGCTAGAAACACTAGGCTGGTCACCATTGGAGAAACGACGACGACAATCCAGGCTCTCCATGATGTACAAGATAAATAATGGGCTGGTCCACTGTTCCAGTATTAAACAGAAACTCGTCCCTCTCCCCCATAGACAGCGACGAGGCCATGACAGGCAATTCAGGCTCATACCAGCAAGAAGCCAGTATAGGAGCTGCTCATTCCTGCCCAAGACAATCAGGGACTGGCACCATCTTTCAAAAGGAACAGTTGAGGCGACAACACTAGACACATTTGTGTCTATTGCCTCAAGCCTTCAAACCCCTAGTGCATAATTTCCTCATCACCACCAGTAACAGAAACATTGCAAATCCCATCTACATGGATAGGAGCCAAAATGATCAATAAATTGATCGTGGGCCCTTAAGATATAGAAGAAGATGAAGAAGAAGAAGGGAATCTTGAAAAATTTTCTATTCAGTAATACTTAAAATTTGTGGGACAATTATGGTTGACCCCAGCCCATACATATAAGGCCTATACTAAATAAGATAAGATTCTTTTAATGATCCAAACATATGGAAATATTTTTTTATTGCTTTGTACATTTTCAGCACATAAATAAAACAATTTGAATAATAAATTATTTTTTTTTACTAGTAAAAAAAAACAAAACAAAAAAAACACCCAGCCATTCAGTGAATTCTCTTAGCCATATAAGGGACTTATTAGTTCTTATTAAGATTTGTGAATTCAGGTGGTGGACGCTGGTAAATTCGTACAGATTGGGGAACAAAAGAATTTTTATATCTTTCAGTCCTTGCCCTGACGGAAAGACTTTGTCCCGAACGGGCCGATCCGAAGTATCTGTGATGAAGAGGGTGGGATGTATCATCCAAAATGTGTTTAGTTTTACAATAATATCTTTCTTCAAATAGTTCTTCAAGTGAAAGATGTTTAGTTTGTGTTACGTTCCTAGCTTTCTTGATTAGTCTGTTTATGATATATATATCAAACAACTAATTTGAAAAACGACTATTTGATTGCTAGATTATAAATTATAATTTAAGGACTATTACAGGCTAATTTAGAGAAACTGATACAACCCAAAGTTTCTATGTATGAGTTATTGTTTCTCTTTCGCATGCAAAGATGACAACGGCTTTGACAAAGGCTAGTAGCCTTGAAGTGAGCTGTATTTTGTTAAAAGTTAGGAAGAGTTGCTCATATCATCTAGCTCACTTTCTCGTTCTTGCCTATTTGTTCCAATGGCAAGACAACTGGAAATAGACCAGGATGTAGTGGATGACCAGCAGTATTCCTTGTGTCTCACTGAGCTCTAAAGCGCTCACAGTTTCACATTGAAGGAGTTGTCGGACATTTCATTGTGTCAATGTCATAGGACTCCATCTCAATATTTAATTTCAGAGTTTGCCTTCTCTTAGATGTTACTGGTGTTGTTTTTGCTTGTCTAGGCTTTTGCTGGAGATTGAACTCCAGTTCACAAACTTAAAATTTCCTCAGTTAAAATCACTTAACCGCCCAGCACCACATGAGTAAAATCCCCTTGTTTAGTCATTAGTTGTTACTAGTACTAGAGTAAGTTTTTCTTCTTTTATAATTTATAATACAGATGGAATGGTATTGGATCACTTAAATTTTCCATATTTCTATTAGTAATAGTATTACTGAGTAACCTATTGAAACCAGATTTAGGCTTAGGTCTAATCAAATCTATTCTTTTTTATTTTTGAAGATCTAGCCACTACCTAGCTAGACTGTTAAAAAAGGACTCAGTAGGCTAAGCTAAGTAAAGTAGACTAATATCCAAGTCTAAGGTACTACTTTACTTTATAAATTAAAGGACTAAGTCTAAGTAGACTTTTAGTAGACTAGCTAAAGGCACCCTAAAGGCAGGACAGGGAGTTAGTTCAGAGTTAGTGAGTGAGTAATCAGTGAATCAGTGTGGTGAAAGTGAGGTAGGTAGACAAATCACCGATTAGAGCAGTGACTCAAACAAAAGTGATTGAGAGTCAATCAGTTACCATTCATTTTCATATTCATAGTCTATAGTCATATCATAGGCAGGAGATTCAGGAGTGCAATAATAAGCAGTCTCATTGAGTCATTATTTATTATCAGTGCACTCCAGGAGTCTCCAGCAGAACTAACCTGTCATTGTTAGGCCTGTAGTTTTCAATATACGGGCTAAAAGGTGCAGATGGATCATTTTCATTTATTAGGCCCATCTTGCAAATTTGCTAAAATATAGGTCAGATATTGACAAATGTGCCCTTGGATTGAAACAAGACTGAAAATGCAGAGCGTAAACAGTACTGTTTCCACTGTTTGGGAATTGCCTGAACTGATGAAATTTATGATGAATACAAAAGTAGAATTTCTAGTAAACAATCTTCTTATAGCAGATATTTACAAATATTAAAGAATCACGCTTAAAATAATAATTTATTTTAATTGTACTTTTAATTGTGAATTTGATAAGATTATATAATGTTAATATTTCAGGATGAGATTTTAATGAAATATGTTCGTTTCTTTGTTAAAAATCACCTGTTTTGCTAATTGGAATATTTACTGATTTATCTCCCTTAGATGAGGCACTCTCAACCTGTAGTTCCTGGCGTTATTTTTAGATAGTCCTCACTGCATTGCAAACAATTAAAAATAAAGAAATATTAAATTTAATTTCAATGCAATGTTACCAAAATTCAATATCTGAAATGCAAAAACCTCTTCAGTTTTTAAAACAGGTTACCAATCTTATTTATTAATTTGTTTATTTGGGGTTGGGGGCACAGAGACGTCATGAAAGGCTGGTGCGGTAAACGCATGGGCATGGGCATGGTGTTTTGTCACTCTACCTTACCACCAACCCACCCACCCCCCACCCCATTTCTACCACAATAACTGCACCAATTAATTCTTAACCCGATCATACAGAAGCGATTATATTTTAATTTAATAGTTTCAAATTAAGTTCTAATGCAGCAGAAGACTTAAAATCTGTGTCCCCCCCCCCCCCGAAAATTTGCTCCGTTGGGGGTGGGGGTATTTCAGATGTTCGTATGAAGGGTGGACGTAAAGGTGGTCCGACCCCGGGAGCTTTTTTTTTGCATCAAATGGAGGGGCGACATTTTTGTCATACTGCAGAGTTTTAAATCGTGGAAGGGGGTGGCGAAAATCGTGGCCCGCCGAGGGTGGCACTTACCTTAGCTACGCCACCGGTTGACCAGGATCACCGCACGAAAATGTGGATGTGTTAGGGAGGGTTGATGACCCCGGAGGATAGATGACCCCTAACTAAACAGAAGTGTTGTTTATTAATTGGGAATTTATTTAATGATTAATAATGCGGTATTTATTAGAATCTAATATTGTATGCCTACATATATCTAGATTAGTCTTAAATATATAGGTTAATCAAGTAAATTGAGCGTAGCGATATTTCATTCGTTCTACCATTTCACTAATTTTTTTAAGAATGATAAAAATGACAATTTAGTAGTTTTTAATATAGATAATATTTTCGCTCTATTGTTGTACACATTTTTCTGGGGGGGGGGGGGGGGGGGGGGGGGGGCACTTAATTTTCCCGAAAGAGGTGCATGAATTAAACAATGTTTACAATTAATTAATTTGAGGCGATAGCATTTTTTTTAAAAATGTCAAACTTACTTTATATTGACATGCTAAACTTGACAGTTAAAACTCTACTATCCCGGTCTTCAAAGATGCGAGAATGGCAACCCATTTCAAAAATCGACATTCTTTGATTTAACACATTTAACATATTTAACACATTCAACACACTGAATTGACAAATAGAAAGACAAAAAATATAAACTATTCCATGTTAGATCGCAAATAGATCTTTACTAGCTATAGAGCGTCAGACAATGGCGTCGCTATGCGCTAAGTTCCCATAATATTAAAGTTACTGGACAAAATATGCCACTCAAGTAACGCACTTTATAAGATTATAAAATAATTAGTTCTATACCCCCAGCCCGTACGCCATGCCCCATAACTATTTTAATATTTGAATGTCCCACCCCCTTTTATACCACAGACCTATTTTTAAATCACACATTTATAACACCAATATTATATTTAGACCATTTTCGAGAAAAAAAAAATATATTTCACACCAAATGCACAAGTAATATTTGAAAGAATCTCTCATTTAGCACAGTTATCGGGCATTTTATTTTGTGGGCTATTGAGCCTCAGGGTCAGTGACCGACATTGTTTTTATAAAGACTGTAGTATGGTGATGGTGACATGCTGTCCGGGTCAAATCACGTAACTCAATGTTCGACCTGTTCCCATTCTTCTGCTGGACTTCAAATTGTACATGGTTACTCAATCCCCGTAGGGCCGTCTTAACACTATTGTAGGCCTTGAGCAGAGCAATGCACTGGGCCCCCTGACAACGCTAACCAGGGCCGTCTTAACACTATTGGAGGCCTTGAGCAGAGCAATGCACTGGGCCCCCTGACAACGCTAACCAGGGCCGTCTTAACACTATTGGAAGCCTTGAGCAGAGCAATGCACTGGGCTCCCGCCCCCTAACAACGCTAACCAGGGCCAAGTGAAGGTGGCGAAAGCTGGTACTTGAACCGGGCGCAAAATCGTGGCGGTGGGATGCTGCAAAAAGTTTCTGCCCCCCCCCCCCCCACCCACCACGCCACACAAAAACCAACT